CCCCAAAACCCCAAAACCCCAAAACCCCAAAACCCCTTTAAATTAGAAATTAATTGAAACAATTTTAAATTTTGTCTAGTTTTTTAATAAAAAAAGTCAAATTCTATCATAATGGCTTGAGTAATATTAATAAGAAGCTAGCTCTGGAGAGACTACATTTACTCTCATCTCTCCATGATCACTTCTAATAACTTCTGGCTGTCCTCAGGGATGAGTTCAATTATTCCTCAATGAACGTCTTCTTCTTTATTTTCTCTAAAGTCCTCCAAAGTTTCTTTGAAGAAAAGAGGAGCTTCTTTATCTTCCAAACACGACTTGTAGTGGCATGAATCAGATCTTGACCATAAGTAGTCGTCTTCTTCGAAGTTATCGTCATCATCATCGTCCTCACTGTAAGCATCATCTTTGTATTCTTCCATCCATTCTAAACAAGTCAGCAATGAAATTATTCCAAAGCATACCTGAAAGCTTCTGGAAGGGTGCATCAAGGTTATTGTATTCATCTGTGCCTTCGTCCCATCGGTTTCTCTTGTCTTCAAACCTGCTCCTGAGCTCAAGAATATGCTCTCTGGTGTACTTTCTCATCAAGTCTATTGGAGACTCAATTATCTTCTGGATGCTTCCTTTGATTACATCAGGCATCTCATTCATTCTGAGCAGCGCTGTTATCCCGTATATTAGTCCTCTCAAATGATCAACTTCACTCTACTTTTACAGATAGCTGAAGAAGTTCTGACAAACTGGGACCAAAACCTTTAGATCAGCCAGGGCCCCCAATGCTAGAGTTCAATTGTAGATGAAACAATGAGCCACCAGAGTCAGAGTATGGAGACGAAACTCTTTGGTGATCTCCTTGTTGCTCAACTCGGTGCATAGAATCTTAATGAATGCCGGAAGGAGCTGGTCCAATTTTCCAGGAAATTCAAGTAACAAAGTTTCTACTATGACAATGCAGATGTAAGCGTTGATATTGACATCTTTTTCTTTGATTAGTTGGAGAATCTTTATAATACCTTTTATCAGTAATATCATTACTGGATCAGTTCCAATCTTTTTAGTTAGCATGCCATCGCGTCCGTACTTAATTAAGCTTCTAAAATAATCCTCCATTGATGTGAAATAATCAAAGGCATAGCCCCCTTCTTCATCTTCAGGACCCCAACAACTACATTATTAGAGTGGAAACTTACTTATTTTTATGAGATGAGGAAACAATGTCCACATTCTTTCTGTGACCGATTGGGTGAAGTTTAGAGTGGCAGTAATGCAGTCCATTGCCTCGTCCAAACACTCTCACCCATCTGCAGAAAGGCTTCTGACTACTACAGGAAAGATCCCAGGCTCAAGTTGGAGAAGTGTCTCAGGATCACCCTTGCAGCTGTTGATGAAGCTTCTGATGGTGACTACAAGCTCGCTGGTTGCCATGCCCATAGTCCCATGCTCTTCCTCCTCTTGTTCCTTTCCGGTGATTTTAATTAAAATTCTCTACTATTTTCCAGCAGAGCTCGATTGCATACGGTCCAATACAATCCCCGTAAAGGCTGACTACTTCTTCTAACCCTGCTATAAGCTCTTCATTGTCGATAGTGTCCATCAGGCCGAGATATGCTTCTAGGATGCTTGGCAACTCAGATTTAAAGGCCTCCCTCATTGAGTTGTTCCTCAAATTCTTATACAGACTAGGGGATGCTGTGATCTTAACAGCAGTATTTTCATCATTCATTAACTGGAAAAGCAGCTTTCCAACTTCAAGCCTGTGGTCATCTTCCATTGGAACTCGAGAACATTGTCCATAGACCCACAGGGCTCTGTATTTCACTAGCTCATTCTCAGAAGTGAGATCCTGGAAAACTGCTCCGGTAAGCACTTGGTTGAGCTGGCCATGGAATTGGTCATACATCAAAAGTGTCGGAGCGATTTGACCAAGACATAGCAACAAAGCGTCTTTTATCCGAAAATCAGGAGCATCCTGCTTGATGTATTCACTAAGGTTTTCAAGCAGAAAGCCAAAGAAGGGCTCTAGGAAGTCTGGCAATGCGCCTTTATCTGGTTACTCTTGTGCTGAGTCACGTTCCTAATCATCTCCAGGACTGAGTTCCTTGCTGTGTAGATATTTGGATTGGGATCCCTTGCTTTCCTAATGAACTCAACAGGATCAGTTTCAAAATCTTCTGTGTCCTTCTATGTCAGAAGGATTGCTAGAACTCAGTGAGAGGTGAGAATCTCAGAGATAAGTGACTTGATCATTTCTCTGTATGTAGTCTGATTGATAGATATTGAAATAACTTTGAAACAGTAGCTCAACACTTGTCTGCCAATATAAATGCTATTTTGCCTCCGATATAAGAGTGTTTGCCTGATCGATAATTCCTTCAGCATAGTTATTAATTCGGTGTTCGGCAATTGGCTTCATTGTTTCATTCACATACTAGGGATTGCTAAATTTTTGGAAGGTTCTAAAGAGAAAGTTCATGGCTGTTTTCTTCAGTTTCCACTGGAAACTTTCAGCTCTGTGGTCAATCTCCTCGATGCTCTCGGTAGGCTGTGTGAGGCTGTTATCAATCTCAGCTTCAAGTGCACTTGTATTAAATTTAACAATAAAATCTAGCATTGAAGGGTCCAAATATCTTTTTCACAAGCTTATTTGATTTGAGATGTAAAATCAGTGTCCAATTAAAATTTTCAGTCTGGATCCTTGACCAGAGTTATCTCCTCAAATCTCTGTTGTTATAGCTTCGAGCCTCGGGAACAGTATATCTGCTATCTCATTTAAGGGCTCTCGTTTGACATCAAATTCATATTCATATCTTTTTCAAATAGATTTTAGTGTATAAAGCACTACAAACATCTCACTACCGTACAAGTCGTCACTTTCAATGTAATCTTAGACCTTATTCGCCAGATCTGGCCACTTATCTGGGAAGCCATGCTTTGTAACTCATCTCACAATGAAATCAAACTGTTTGGCTACTTTTTCACTATGCACATTGATGTAGGCGGTGAGAATATTTTCCTTGACATAAGTCTTGGTCTCATCAGGAATGATGATAACCTTATACCCATCTTCCCTCATTTCCTTTGCATATTCATCATCTTTGTACTTCCAATGGGTCTCAACAATATTCTTAAACTGGATTGCAGCTGCTTGGGAGATGTCAATCTTCCTTCCACGATTGAGATCTGGGTTCGATGAGATGTGCAGCATGGCTGCTATAAACCCAGGAGTTTCCATCCCTTCAATAATAAAAGCCTCCGCTTGCTTTCTCAGGTCATTATCTTGCGGTACTGAGGGACCGAGTGCTTGGCAATACTCTTCAATAGTCTCTTCGTCCATCCTATTTTGGATAAAATTTTAGAGTATTTTATGAATTCAAGTTTGACAAAATAAAAGGGGTTTTGGGGTTTTGGGGTTTTGGGG